ATTATTTAATTTTTTGAAACTTACTCTGTTCTTTAACCAATTATAAGAGGAACTCTTTTTTTTTTAACCAATTGTAGAGAAACAGAAACTCTGTCCATATATCGAAAAATGTCTCGTCCAACAAAAAGCCTTGAGTTTTCATTGAAGTCACTTGTATTGTATAGACAGGGTTCCTCAATTGGATGATAGTTTTGGCAGGTTGTTCAGTCTTTATATATTTGTTACAAAGCAAAAACACAGAAACATAAAATGGAACTGTTAAACCTAATGGATATACCCATTTTCAAACAGAAATGGATGGAAATTATTGAAGGAAAGCTTGATGGGAGGGTAGTTCAATTTATTAGAGATGACGTGTTAAATTATTTATGAAAGAGTTTGCCATTGGCAGGCAGCCAAGATAGAAGTTGTGACGACAGTTGTTTAAGACTTGATGCTTATCGTGAGAGTTTTCTTGTTTTGATATGTATTCTGTCATCTGTAAAGAAGATAGTGATGTATATGGTGTTATTTGTGTTTGAGCACCAATGAGACTGACTAATGTTTGATACCTTGCTTGTATTTTATTGTAGTGAAGTAAACTGGAACTCTGAATACAGTATAATAATGGTTGGTTGTTGTGGATTTGTGACAGCAACATGAAATATGAAGGACAACCATGAACACTCCAACAACAATACGTTATACCTATTGCAATGGCTGTTATGCACTGGGGTGTTTGTCTTTTCTTTTGAATTTGATTATAGTGATTTGAACCTACCACTCTACCAGTACCATCTATATATTATAAATTTGATTTCCTCAGTTCCGACCTGTCCAGAGCCTAGGTAGGAGGTCTTTAAAAAAAAGTAACTTTTCAAATAGAAGAATCAATAGCAGCATGGCAACGTAAAAACAGCTGTGTGTGTGTTTCAGTTTCTCAAGGATTTGGACTTCCTTCTTCTTAAGTCTTAACTAACCAAATTCCAATATTAGGTTAGGAATTATAACATCATCTACTTTGACACACAAACGCGTAAGTTTGAAAACAATCTCAGTACCTCACTCATGACTCATCCCTAGCTGTCCGTCCCCACTTCAAAACACCAGTCAACTCAAGGCTTAAGCAGCCATAATTCTTATCTACTACTAATTGGCCTTTTCTTCTTCACTTCATGCATATATAAACCCTTGGTAATAGACTAATAGGCATAGGCATATTAATTCTCACCACCTTCATTTATTCACAATGAGTTTTAACACTTCTTCTTCTACAGCTAATACCATGTTTATTATGTGCTCTTTGATAGCTGCTTCTTGTGCTGCTAGTTTTTACCAAGATATTGATATAACATTTGGTGATGGTCGTGCCAAGATACTTGACAATGGAAACCTTCTTACGTTGTCCCTCGATAAGGCCTCTGGCTCTGGTTTTAAGTCTAGGAATGAATATTTGTTTGGAAAGATTGACATGCAACTCAAGCTTGTCCCTGCTAACTCAGCCGGCACTGTCACCGCCTACTATGTATCTTTCTCACAAAATCTTCTTTATTCAAACACATTTATTTTTAGACTAAATAAATTTTTTAAAACAACATGAAACTGTTTCTATATTGAATATCAGTTTCCTGCATTGTGTAATTAATTACAGTATCATAATTTTACAGTTAACTTCATTTGGATCAACTCATGATGAGATCGACTTTGAGTTTCTTGGCAACCTAAGTGGGGATCCCTACATTCTGCATACAAATGTGTTTGCCCAAGGCAAAGGAAATAAGGAGCAACAATTCTATCTATGGTTTGACCCTACTAAAGATTTCCACACTTATTCTATCTTATGGAATCCTCAATGCATCATGTAAGTCCCTCCTCTCATTCAACTTTTAAATACTTTCTCATATTTGGATTTCCAGACATTAAGACAAGCTATACATACTCTCAAGATCTAGCTTCTTGCATATTATTGACCTTTGCTTTTCTTAACTTCCTGTCAGCTTTTCTGTGGATGGCACTCCCATTAGATACTTTAAGAACTCTGAATCAATAGGTGTTCCATTTCCACAAAACCAGCCAATGAGGATTTACTCAAGTCTATGGAATGCTGATGACTGGGCCACAAGGGGTGGGCTTGTCAAGACTGATTGGAGCCAGGCTCCATTTACTGCCTCATATAGAAAGTTCACAGCCCAAGCATGTATTTGGTCATCAGGTAGCTCTTCTTGCACCTCCAACAACACTAGTGACAATGCTTGGCTAACACAGGGTCTGGACACAACAAGCCAGGAAAGTATTTCATGGGCGCAGAAAAACTACATGATCTACAACTACTGCACAGATACAAAACGGTTCCCTCAAGGTCTCCCCCCTGAATGCTTGCTCAACTAGATGAAGCTAAATATCAAAGCATTTAAACTACTAGCATATGGAGGATATAGCACTTAAACAACAACATATTGCAACATGCAAGTAAGTGGAAAATAAATAAATAAGTGAAAAACATACAAGCCTGTACTATATCAAGTTTGAGATTCAGATTATTCAATAAAATGTCATGTACTTGTTAACACACAGAAGTATGAACTATGACTTCAAAACTGGAACAAGGAGGACAAAAATTGAAATTGCAAGTTTGCAACAGAAGTAATAATGAATCAACTACGTCTCTTAGATGAGAAGTTATAAAGACAACGCAAACTCAGTGCAGTCTGAAAATGATGAGATGAAAGGATTTTTGAGATATCATCACACAGAATCTTTCCGCAATTAAGATAAACAACAAAAAGAAATCAGCCTCATTTGCTGTATAGCAGAACAATTTGATAATGAAGACACAACAGCAGAGAAAAAGTAAGTACCTACCCAGAACTCATACTTGACTAAACAGAAAGAGAACGCAGCGTCTTTAGACGTTTGACAGAAGGAGAAGCACTCTTCAGTCCTTTGCGTGCCTTCTTCAGAGAATTAACCCTTCGCTTCACCTTTTTTGTCATAGAAGAAGTCTCAATTATAGGGCCTGCAGGTATGCCTTTCTTAAGAGCACTTCCTCGTGGAGTAGCAGATGGAGGTAATCTTAAACTTTGGGGAGGTAAAGGGCTGTGAGGCTTCCATACCAAATTGCTCTTCATAGCAAACCGGACCTTCTTAGCACTCTTGCCAGCTGTACTGCCTTCAATGAGATCATCATTGAGGGAAATCTTGCCATCATTACTTCTTGCTCTCTTTCTCTTCTTTGGCACAATAGCATTAACTGGTGTTACAGGTGAAGCAGGTGAATCAAATGTGTTTGCACCATCTGTTTCCATGCCAACTTCAGCAGCAACCCTCTCAAACTGCATC